TGATGCACCATCGTGGTTGGAGCTGCCCGAGCAGTGATCCTATTCAGTCTACAGCTGTCTTGGCGACGAATGATCTGATACAGCCAGCTCTGGCCGCCGACCCCAATTCTGCTTCTTGGACCCGTGATTTCCCAGGCTCGAAAGATACCTTTTGACGTGTCCCACCTCCTCAAAGCCTTGCCTGGGGCTGGGGTCGTTTCCTATGTCAACACGAACTTCACGGTGGACGACGGGGCCTGGATGGGTCTGGGGGCCACCATGCGAGGGATGTTCGTATTCGTCGGCGTGCCTGGGCCATGGTTAGACTGGCGCCTCCACTGGACCCCCAAGAAGACCTCGAAGATGATGAACAAAACAGTGGCAACCATGATGATGGTGAGTTACGCCGTGACGCTATCATGTGTGGTACGTTGCCTACGGTTACTCAGAGTAGTCCACGTGCTGAATCGCATGCATGTCTCATGTTGTTGCAGCACACGCCGGGGGACATCATGGTATATACCAGCCTCTTGTCTCTTGCACGGGCACATCCTGCTCATTCTCATCTTCCTCCTCCTCCACACCCTCCCTCCTCGTCCTCCTCCTCCTATTCCTCCTCCTCCTCCTCGTCGCCCCCCTCCTCCTCGTCCTCCTCCTTCCTCTCCTCCTCCCCCTCCTCCTCTTCTCCTCTTCTCCTCTTCTCCTCCTCCTCCTCCTCATCCTCCTCCTCCTCCCGATTTCGGCGGTGTGCATCCACCGAGGAGAGATGATCGCGGTCTCGGTGATGGTGGCAACATTCGAACTGCCTAGGCGGCCGAAAGATTACCGGTGGCGCTGCCGTGGATTCCGCCACCGCGCCCTGGTGGGCGCCCAGGGGAGGGGGGGTCCAATGAACGTCCCTCCCCCAGCCTCGTATTCGAGCACGTTTTCTGCCTGGACGTCCAAAAACGAAGGGACGTGGTCATGAAAATGGATGCAGTTGGGGCTCGACGCGTCCTCCTACGACTCACTTTCCTCCTTCTTCCCCCCACCACAATATTCCTCCTCCCGTTCCTTCGATTCCATATCATCCTGCTACGCGTCCTGCCCCTCTCGATCCCCCGCTTTACTCACCTTCGGGACCACCAGGAAGATTCACGAGGATTGTTTTGGGATGTTGATTGCACTTGTTTGACACTGTGTTGTTCTGTGGCGACACGGGGATCGGCAGGGAAGGAAGAGGAGGAAGAGGAGGAGGAGGAGGAGGGCAAGGAAGAGGAGAGGGGTAAAGGGAGGAACGGGAAGTGGAAGGGGGAGGAAGGGGGACAACTTGTAGAGCGTAAACATTTAAGGTTTGACAATTCGAAGAGCTCGAAGAGGGAAGAATTTCAAAATGTGGGCCCGATATTGACGTGTGCAAGGTCAAGTGCGTACAAGCTCCATGTCCTCTCAGAAGCTCACACTCTCATGCTCACACCTTCAAGCGTTCATTCATTAAGACGTGTCTCTAGGACTAGAGGAAACCACAGCCGAAAAAGCTCGACGGTTTGACGAATTGCTGAGGCGCACACGTTTGAAAGCTTGAGCGGTTGAAAGCTACCCCGCCCGAAAGACGTTGAGAGCTTGCTAGTTCGAAGACTTCGAACTTGTGCGAAGCTGCATGTTCTTCGGCTTCCCTCTGGCCCAGACTCGGCAAGACTGTGATAGCAGCTCATGGGCAGAAGGACCAGCAGCAGCAGGGCTAAGCTGCAGGAAGATGATCAGGAGGGGAAAAAACACAGACACAATTGATCGTCGACTCCCAAGAGAAAAAAAGGGAAAACATGGGAAGTGGGGGGGAAGACAGAAACCCAGAAAATATAGGAAAATATGAGGAGTCCTTTTATTTGTGTGTATTAATGTGTGTGTCCTGAGGCTCCTTCGGAGGAGAGGAACGCGGGAGCGGCGGCACGAGCAGGAGGGGGCCCAGGGGAGGGTCCGCCTCTCGAGTGCCCCGAGCTGGCCGCCTCGGAGGGATCGCCAGCGGCCCGGGCCGGGCAAGAGCGCCCCTCCTCCTTCGACTCCACCTCATCCTCCTCCTCCTCCTCCTCCTCCTCCTCCTCGCCTGCACCTCCGTCGACCCTCCTCGTGTTTCCTCCCGTGCTGCTTCTGCTCCCCCATTCCCCTCCCCCCTCCCCCACCACACTCCGCTCCCTGGAGCCTGCGGGCGAGCCTCCCAACGAGGAGGCGGCCTCCTCGAGGCCTATGTTGTCCAGAGTGGTCGCCGCGCTTCGCCTCGAAGAGGACGAGCAGCTTCTTGTGCCGCGGTCGCGGGCACAGGCCGACTCTGGCGACTCTGACGAACACTCAGTCAGAGCGACTGCTCAGCCCAACCTCACTCGAAGGTCAGCCTGGCCGGGCAGTCATTTCAGCTGCAGGGCTGTCGTGAGCCCTGACGGCGTGCCCCCTCGCGGGTTTCGTCACGGTGCTTTGCCAAAACCCTTCGGAGCGTGTTCCCAGTTCCGAGCTTACTGCAGCACGTGCCACGCTCAGTTGGTGACGTAGTTCGTTGCTGGCGAACTGGCGCCCCCCCTCAGCTGCGTCACTCCTCCCCTCCCCCACAGGGGCAACGTTCGGGGGGATGAACCACGAGGGGGACGCGTAGACTCCCGATCGCCCACCGATCGCCGACAGGGGCCTGCTAGCTCGCCCCGCCCAAGACGCGCAGGTTCGCTGTCCGGGGCACATCGCCGATCTGTCGGCGAGGTCGGTCTATCCCCCCGAGCCAGTCCCCCCTGTCAATCCCCCCTAGAGGAGGAGTATGCAAAAATAGCCAAACAAGAGTCTGGGGATTGGACTGTTGTTTGACTATGTTTGAGTATGCTTGGGCATGGTTTGACTACGTTTTATCAAGGGCGCCCTCGAGGGCGCGAAGCTATTCGCGTTTCGCGGTTCGGCTCCGATTCCTCTTCATCCTCCTCTTCTCCCTTGGGAGGCGGCGCGCGAGCGCGAAGTTGTCGCCCTTCGCGCTTCGCGCAGCGCGAAGCTCGAATTTGGGAGCCCTTGTTTTACTTGTCGTCCAAAACTCGCCGGTAGGAGGACACGCCCGACCTAAACTTGGGCATCGAGAGCGAGCAAAAACTACCTGGGCGTCTCCGTCGCTGTTGGTTCCTCCAGTCAGAAAGGCCGCCGGCCTCTGGCGGCCGAAGGCTCGGCGTCTGGAGAGCATCGGGGGCGGCAAAGAGTGGGGCGTCTGGATCCCCTCCTCTCCCTTCCGCTACTCCCTGCCATCCTCCCTCCTCCTCGTACTCCTCTTCCTCCTCCTCCTCCTCCTCCTCCTTCTCCTCCTCCTCCTCCTCCTCCTCCTCCCTGCTCTCGGGGGCGGCAAAGAGGAGGATGATGACTAGGGGGGGGTGGATATCATGGCGTGGGCCATGGTATTTCCCAGATTTCATGGCGCCTCTTCTTATTTAATTACGTCCCTGGTCCCCCCGCTGGGCCGCGCACATGCCGCCGGTCATGATCTGCACCCCCCCCTCTTGGACACCCCCCTCTTGGCCGCTCCCGAGAGCATCCCCAGGCCGGAAAGCCGCCGAGCGCCGACGAAAACGCCCGAAAGCCTCCAACGTTCAGCCAAGCAGTGGCGAAGCGTCCTGGCTCGCCTATGGGCCCACCGAGGAATGCTCCAGTTAAGAACTGTTTATGCTTTGCACGAGATGTTCCTATAGAGCATATCTGGCCGAGTCTGTCTTGTTTCGTCATACCGGGGTTATGTTCTAAGGACATTGTTTTTGTTCTGAGAACATTTCAGGGTTCTAAGAACATGTCGTGGTAGGCCTAGAGAAATGCCGGGACGGTCGGTCCCTGCTGAAAACGTAGATCCCTCGTCCTCCTCCCCCTCCGATTCCGTTTTCACGGCAGGCATCGCCACAGGCGCGGCGTACGAGACTGGCAGCGGCAACGGCGACCTGGGCGCAGTCGTAGAGCGACGTCGCGGGCGCATCTAGGGGAACGAACAATGACATAAACTTCAAAGCTCGGAGGTCCGCTCGAATCCCCGGATCGGCGCTGGGGCCCCCTGGCGGCGCCTCCGGCGCCGCCCTTGGCGCGCTCCGCGCGCCAGGGAGGGTGGTCCAGCGCCGATCAGAGAAGTCCGCGATGGCCTCCGCGTTTTTATGTTTTTGCCATTGTTCGCCTCCCTGGCATCCTCTCCCATTCCCAATCTACCTTCCCACGACGATGTACAGCGTGCGGAATGTGCTACAGAAGGCGTTTGCATGGGAGTTGCCCCGAAGCGGCAACTTGCGTGCAGCAAGCCATGAGCGTTTCTACCACCAATAGTGTGCGGAGTGTGCCTCTCTGCCGTCGGCCTTGACAGTCCGCGTAACAAAAAAAAAGTCTACCCCCCGAGCCAGCAGCAGCGACTTTTCGTGTGTGTGTGTGTGTGTCTGTGTCTGTGTCTGTGTCTGTGTCTGTGTCTGTGTCTGTGTCTGTGTCTGTGTCTGTGTCTGTATGCCTGTGTGTCTGTGTGTCTGTGTGTCTGTGTGTCTGTGTGTCTGTGTGTCTGTGTGTCTGTGTGTCTGTGTGTCTGTGTGTCTGTGTGTCTGTGTGTCTGTGTCTGTGTCTGTGTGTGTGTGTGTTACACCGTGCAGCGTAGTCCGATGCCTTCTTGAGGCATCCTCCCGCAGGCCTGCTCTGCCCCGCTCTGGCGCGCTGCGCCGGGGCGCACGCCCCATGCCTGCGCTGCGGACCGAGAGATGAGGACGGCGGTCCTGCGACGGCCCAGAGAGCTCCCGCTGCACCAACTGTTCCTAGCTTGTGGCCCACTCGTCGAGTACAGTCGGGGCTTTGACCTAAGGAAGCCTAGATAAGGAACGAGGCCCCTTTTTTCCACGGGTCAAACTTCGATATCCCGTCGAAAACACCGGGAAAACCTGAGGCAAGCTGTGAAACACTTAAGGAACACGGAGCCCCTCCCCAACGAAAAGGCTTCCTTCTTCAGCGACCCGACTGTAGTAGTAGTAGCTCACGCGGGGCCTTCCTGGCCTGGGGCCGCGGGCCAGGCGCTGATCGACGCCGTGGAGCGGGCGACCGCGGAGCTCGTCGGCGCCGACGGCGAGGCCTCCGGCGCTGGCTCCGGGGGGGTGCGGCTCGTGTCGTCGGCCTCCACCTCCGCCTCCTCGTGCTGCTCCTCCTCGTCATCGTGGTCCTGCTCCTCTCTCCTCTCCTCCCTTCGCGGAGGGGGGGAGCGCGACGAGGAGGAGGAGGAGGAGGAGGAGGAGGAGGAAGAGGAGGGAGGGAAAGAAGAAGAAGGAGGAGGACAAGGAGGAGGAGGAGGAAGACGACGACGACAGCGACGACGCCGACAAGAGGAGAGGGGATATGGGAGAAAAGGGGGGGGACCGGGGGGGAGAAGCAGGAGGAGGTGAAGGAGGAGGAGGACGACGACGACAACGACGACGCCGACAAGAGGAGAGGGGAGAAAGGAGAAGAGGGGGAGGAGGGGGGGGAAGGAGGAGGAGGAGGAGGAGGAAGATGAGGAGGAGGAGGAGGAGGAAGATAAGGAGGAAGAGGAGGAGGAGGAGGAGGAGGAGCGGCAGGGGTGGCTCTCAGGTCAGGGAAGAGGTCAGCGGTTTGCAGAACCCCCACTCTGCCGAGTCGATCCGAGAGCTGCCCTCTCTGTCGGACTTTGAGGGCGGACCCTGCGGGACTGCGCCCGTCGTCGGTCTGGTCCCAGGTCGTTCCCACCTAGCTGGTGCTCTGCTTCAGGGGCGTCCACCCCCGAGGAGGCCACGCCTGGAATCGTGCAATCCTCTCCCTGGAACCCTGAAATCCTCGCCCTGGAATCCTGGAAAATCCTGGAATCCTGACATCCTCTCCCTGGAATATTGAGATCCTCTCCCTGGAATCCTGACGAAAGCCCGAAGCCCGAATCCTGTGGCTCTCTCTCTCTCTGAGGAGGAGGAGGAGGAGGAGGAGGAGGAGGAGGAGGAGGAGGAGGGGAGGAGGAGGAGGAGGAGGAGTCTCTCTCTCTCTCTCTCTCTCCCCCCGGAAGTCCTGACGGCGCACCTGCTCTCCGAGAGTCGGAGGTCTGCGCCCGGCCTTTTCGAGCCTCTGGGGCCCTCTTGCGTGCGGATCCGGCTCTCACGAGAGCGGCGCGGCAGGATGAGGTCGTGGGCTCCTGCCGTGATTTCTCACGACGCCTCGTGTCTTCGAAATGTCGGATCTGAGGGTCTCTCTCTCTCTCTCTGTCTTTGTCTCTCTCTCTCTCTCTCTATGTATATGTGAATATATACATATTTGTATGTATATACATACAAATATGTATATGTGTGTGTATGTGTGTTTCGTTGTATCTCTCCGCGCAAATAGATGATCTGGCACCGATCTGAGGTTAGCCAGCGTGGACCCCAAAACATTGATGTCTTACGATGTAGACAGATCTATAAGCAGACATGTGTATATATGTGTATATATATATATATGTAAAAATGCATGCATACATATATGAATGCGGTGCAACCTGGGTTGTGCAATCAATGTGGTGCAACCTAGGGATGCAATCCACTCTGCTGAACTTGAAGTCGTCATCTCCACTGCTCGCGCAAACATCCCACCCGCCCACCCGCAACTTGGTTTGCAAAACCTCTTAAGACCGACTACGACGACACCGACGACAACGACGACGACGACGACGACACCGACGACGTCTCCGACGACTTCGACGACGGCACCGACGCCGACGACGACGAAGACGACGACGACGACGCCAACGAAGACGACGACGAGGGAGGAGGAAGGACGACGACGGCGACAACGACGACAACGACGACAACGACGAGGGAGGAGGGAGGACGGCGACGACGCGAACGACGAAGAATGAGGACGGACGCGACGCGACGAGACAACGATGGGCGGAGGGAAGACGCCGACGACGGACGACGACGACGACGAGGGAGGAGGGGGAAGGACGACCACGGCGACAACGACGACGGAAACGACCACGACGCCAAAGAGGACGACGACGACGAACACGAGGAATGACAGAGGACGACGTAGGCGACGACGACGACGACAACGACGCGGGAGGAGGGAGGACGGCGACGACGACGACGACGACGACGACGCAAGAGCGCGCGCGCACGCTTTTGTTGAAAATCCGTGTTGCGAAACCTTCGGTTTTTGTATGTTTTTTGGACGCGCGATTTCGAAATCCTTCCGAAACCGACGGGTTTTGAAGGATTTCGGCGTACGCGCGCGACGACGCGCGCGTCTGCACTTCATCCCATTTGTTGCAGAGGATTTTCGCGACGGCACACGCGCAAGGGCGTTCGACAGATTTCGACATGCGCGCGCGCGACGCCCGTTTGGTAGCATTTTGTGAAAATATTGAAAAACCATGGTTTTCTTCAGATTTCGCAAGAGCTCGCGCGGAAGCTTTTTTAGCAAATCAGTGTTGCGAAACCTTATGTTGTTGTATGTTTTTTTGAAAACTCGATTGCGAAATCCTTCCTGCACCGAAGGTTTTTGAAGGATTTCGGCATGCGCGCGCGACGACGCGCGCGTGCGCACTTCGTCCCATTTTTCCCGGAAAGGGCCTGAGCCCAGGGTTCTCTTTTAGTTGGTTTCCCCCCGGGTTCGACGGCTGTAGGGCCGGCGAATTTCTTTTACGATAAATAACGAGGTCGCGTAGGGCCGGCGAATTAAACTTTGAGGATGTCTCGAGCAAAACGCTTGTTTTTCAGAAATGGTTGAGGATGTCTCGAGCGAAACGCTTGTTTTGTGTTATAGATTGTCCTCTCCTGGGGACCTGAATTCTGAGGATCTCTCAAGTGGATTGCTTGTTTTCACGTGCCCAGGTCTTGAGGATGTCTCGAGCGAGACGCTTGGTTTCACGCCTCCAGGTGGCCCAGACAGATGTCTAGCATGAGGATTTGTTCAGGATGTCTCGAACCATAGGCTTGTTTCATGTGTCCAGGTCGCCCAGGCGGATGTCTAGCATTAGCATTTGTTGAGGATGTCTCGAGCGAGACGCTTGTTTGCACGTGTCCAGGTTGCTCAGGCGGATGTCTAGCATGAGGATGTGCTGACAACGTCTTGAGCGAAACGCGTGTTTTCACGTGTCCAGGTCGCCCAGGCGGAGCCGAAAAACTATATTTAAAATAACAGCCCTCGGCACGGTACATCAATATCTATACCCTTAGCATTGCAGCCTGGCATGTTGCCTGGCACGTTCCGCGGAGCGTCCCGTGGCGCGTCCCCCTGGCACGTCGCGCGGTGCACGTCCATTGGCACGTTCCGTAGCGCGTCCCCTTGGCACGTCCAGCGGTGCGTGCCCATGGCACGTCCCCTGGCACGTCGCCTGGCGCGTCCCTTGGGACGTTCCGCGGCGCGTCCTCTTGGCATGTTCCCTCTGTCGATTAGTTCTGGGGCAGCTACCATCTGCTCAGGCAGCTCGAGCTTACGATCCAGATCAGTTTGGTGAGGACTCGGATGCCAGGGAGGACTCGATCCACAACGCTATATAGAGCACAATCGCGGCATGGCACATCGCAGTTCAGCACGGCCCAGCACAGCACAGCCGTCGGCACGGTACACCAAGATCGATACACTCAACTATGCACCTTGGCACGTTCCTTGGCGCGTTCCGTGGCGAGTCCACCTGGCACGTCGCGCGGCGCGTCCCCCTGGCACGTCCCTCGGCACGTCCACTGGCACGTTCCGTAGCGCGTCCCCTTGGCACGTCCCGCGGTGCGTCCCCATGCCACGTCCCCTGGCACGTCGCCTGGCGCGTCCCTTGGGACGTTCCGCGGCGCGTCCTCTTGGCATGTTCCCTCTGTCGATTAGTTCTGGGGCAGCTACCATCTGCTCAGGCAGCTCGAGCTTACGCTCCAGAACAGTTCGGTGAGGACTCGGATGCCAGGAAGGACTCGATCCACAACGCTATATAGAGCACAATCGCGGCATGGCACATCGCAGGTCAGCACAGCGTAGCACAGCACAGCCCTCGGCACAGTACATCATCATCGATACATTCAGCATTGCATGTGCCCGTCGCCCAATCAGGTGTCTTTGAAATGTTGCAATGTCTTACCTTTCTATATTCCTTTCCGGGTTCGTGGGTCGATCATGTTTGCAAGGGATTCGTGAAACAGTGTTATGTTAGAACCACAAATGTCACCGCATAGTGTTTTTTACCAGGCAACCTCAGGGGGGGCATACCGGTTTGGCTGGGATGATATGATTTCATATTTTGGATGGACGAGTGTGCATAATATATACGAAATCATATTATCCCAGGGGGAAGCGTTAAGTCGGGGGGGGTAGAGTCTATTCTCTTTTAAGAAAGGAGAATATATGTGGTGCAATCCATGCGATTGCACATGCGATTGCAATGCAATGCGATGCCATACAAAGGCATGCAAAGCAACGCGACGAAATGCAACGCAATATAACGCAATGTAACGTAATGCAAAATAGCGTAAAGCAATGCAAAGCAAGGCAAAACAAAGCTAATCAGGGCAAAATATGGCAAAGCAAGGCAAAGCAACACAAAGCAAGGCAACGCAAGAAAACGCAAGCAGACGCAATGCAACGCAACGCGAAGCGATGCAAAGCAATCCAAGGCGATGCAGAGCGTTTTAAAGCAATGCAATGCAAATGGAGTGCGATGCGACAGCAACGCGCGATCGCAACACGAGGCGACCGCAGTGTGCGGCCGGAGCGCAGTGCCATGGCAACACGATGGAATGCGACCGCCATGCCATGTGATTACAGTCGGCCCGGATTAGTAGGTCGACCCTGCCAGCTCAAGGGTACCCTTGTGTCCTGTGCCTCGCGGCACGTGCCTTCTAACACTCCTATGGCGATGTGGCCCTCGGAAGGGTCTTGTGTCCTCTCGCGTGCCCTGTCCAATCAAGGCCGACTGTGCGATGCAAGCGGCGGGGGGGGGTGTAGCGGGGCTGCGGCGCCGCGCGGGAAGGCACCCGCCAGGGCCGCCAGCACTGCGCACGGTTTTTACCTAACAGCGTAGATTGATAGGTTTCTAGTTGACTCAAAAGAGCTCACAGATCACTCCACAGGGGGGTCCGGGCAGGCGTTGGGAGTTGCCGGCCGGGCC